TTTATACTATGTTTAATTGTTTTGTGTTATTTTAATTATATGTTCATTTATTATGAAACAATTTCATTTGGTTGATAATTATATATATATATATATATATATATATTTATTTATTTAAAAATTATCTTTAGACTTGTTACATTGAATATTAACATAAAATTATTTATTGATCTTGGAAAATACAAAATGCATGATTTAAAATGATTGGACATTTACCAACAATTCATTGGTTTGAGTGACATTCAACTATTAGTCTCTTTCATTCAACTTTTGAGTTTGAATATTGTGGATGAAAAAAAGTGGTGAGAAGGGAGACCTCACCAAGATGATCAAACAAGTTTTCAATACAGAATAATCATAATCAAAATAGGTAAATATTTCGTAGCAATATACATAATTAAAAAAGCAATTAAAGTTTCAATTCTTTTCACTTAAAAAACATTAATTTTAATAAATGCAATATTTATTGCTTACATTTATTGATGCAATTAACAAGGTATTGAATTTGACTAGAGGTTTTACTCTCTCCAAAAGAAATATCTCCCAAATGGTAACAAGGTTTTGTTAATTTTTTTTTTTTTTTGTCACGTTCATGAGTATTATATATTAACTGTGTTATAAACAATTGTTAGCTTAAATGATTTTCCACTTGCGCTCCTTAATTAAGAGTAAGAGTTTGATCTTTGATTTATGTATGTATTCATAATTGAAAATATCACTTTACTATGTTTAAAAATGTTGTAATTTGCACTCCATAATTTTATATATTGAACCCACTCATGATTATTTTTGAAAATTATTTTTTGTTCTTTGTATATATGATGATAATTATTAACTTTTTCTAAAATGTATCTACTTAACCTAAAGTCTTGAATCTGTCACTAACTTTACTCCTATAAGAACTAACTTATTTGAAAAGAGTCATACTTTCTTACTAGATTAAAAATAGTTTTTAGTAGGACATTCAATAAGTTTGACCAAAATAAGTTTGTATGGTATGAGAATTTATGCAAACTTATTTTAGAAGCTTATAGCTTATTTTTATAAATTAATTGAAGTAACTTATAACTCACACGCTTTTAAGTTTTTTTTATCCTCATTAATTTACTTGAAATTATTTATTTACCCTATTTAAGTTATAAAATATTTTGACTATATTGACATTCTCCCACTCTTATTATAAAAACTATTTTATGTCATTTTATATTTATCAACTAATTTTATCAAACAACCTCAATTCAATTAGCTAGCTTATAAGCTGATAGTTTGTTCTAGCTTTCAATTAATTTATGTTATTTTTATCACACCCATGAAGTGTCTTTGTCAAGAGTTTATAAGCTTATTTTATTATTTATAAACTAGCTTAACCAAAATGTGTTTGTTTGGTACAAAAATTTATGGAAATTTATTTTAGAGACTTATAACTTAATTTTATAAACTAATTTAAGTAACTTATAAATTATAAGCTTTTATTTTTATTTCTTTCTCTTTTTTTTATCATCATTAATTTATTTAAAATATTTTTTTTTGTCATTTTTAATTTATAAACTATTTTATCTATCTTATTATTCTCTCATTCTCATTATAAAAATTACTTTATGTAATTCTCAGAAGATGAGTTTAATATATATTTTTGGAAGTAATGTTGTATGAAGCATGTGCTAGTAAATATAATTCTTTGGTGAGTGTTTATTAATTTTAACCAAAATTTATTAACTACGTTAATTTTTTATACACAATATGAAATTTTAGTGTTTAATTTAAAGGAAGTGCGAACTCATCTAACACAAACCTAAGCATTCAATGAACAAAACCAATAATCTTATAATGTATGAAGCATTTTTTTATTTTCCAAATTTTAGATTAGTTTGAAAATAAAGAAGAAGAATGGTTAAAACCCTAAAGTAAGCATCCCAATAAAAATTAAGAAGAAGGTTACAACAAATGCAGAACGTGAAAGCAATCTTTAAAAGGTCATTTTTTTTATACATAAAAAAAAATAAAGATCAAACAGATAACTACCCAATCTTCCTCCACCAGATTCTGCACTTGTTTTTGAATCAAGTCCAAGGCAATGATCGAATCAGATTCACAAATGACATAATGCCAATTGCCAACTGTCATTCCAAGCTTTTTGAAGACCATGATAGATGATGAGAAGGTGAAAAGTAGCTATATATGATATCAGCATATTAATTGATAATCTGCCATGTATCCCAGTTCTTTAAAGGGTCATTAAAAACATGAAAGATACAAATTAAGGTCAAACTTAAAAGAGGTAAGTCACAATGTTAAAACAACAACATAAGCAGAGAAAAAAAATCAATATTTTCCTAATTATATTATACTGTGTTTTTTCACATCTCTTGCAACAAATATCGCACAATATTTTACTTGAAGGATAACAATTGAAAGAGGGAGGGGTCGTGATTTTTAAAGATAAAGAGATCAACAAAGAGAAAAATGATTTGGTAATTCGGAAAAGAGATTACACAATACTTGATTAATTATTTTTAAAATATTTGAAAAATTCAAACGTAAAAGTTTAATTTGTTAAATAGTTAAATGATGGAGATAAACTCAGTTTATTACCATCTTAAGTGAGAAAGCTCACTCTGGAATAACTGCACCCAAATATATACATTTTTTTTATTAGAAACCTATTATTCATGTGTAAATAGCTTTATATAATAAATATAGTTATGAGTAGGTCAATAAAGGTAAAACTCGTTAAAATAAATAACTTGTATGCAAATATTGTAAAACTTAATTCCCAATGTTAGGGATTTATATTACTGAGTCTGCAAATTTTGGATATCTAATCTTGCTTGGAGGTGTTTGAACTTCAAACTTTGGCTAGCTTTACACAACTCAAATTATTTATTTTTTTTGCTTAATTACATTTTTTTTACCTCAAATATTATAATTATGTGATTTTAATTTTTAAGATTCTAATTGAGTAATTTTAGTCACCCAAAAGTATCACAATTATATGAATTAAATCTATCAAGTATTACAATTATATAATTTTTTTGACATATTTAAGTTACATGTATTATAATTTTTATTCATATATTAAATAATATATTTATTATTATTAAAATTATTGATACATGCAATTTTAATAAATAAAAACTTGTATAATTATGATATTTAAGTGATTAAAATGACAGAATATTATAATATTTGATTAACTAAAATTACTCAATTAAAAATTAAAAAATTAAAATTATACAATTATAATATTTAAGACACAAGTTACCTATCTATTATATTTCAAAGACAAAAATCACATGTAATTCAATTTATTAATGATAACTTTTCCGCATTGTCTCTCATATTACAAGTTTCATGACTCTGAGGCCACATTAAAACACAAGAAATTTGACATGATATTTAGTTGAAAGTGAAACTATTTTTTTTTTCATCGTAAAAAGGTAGTGTTTTAAATGGTACACTGATTTTGTAACACCGCTCACCCAAAGATAAAAAATAATAATTTAAAGATAAGGTTAACATAGGTTTTCACTCTACAATATATTGTTATTGGAATACAAGGATGTTAAATTAAAAATTATGATCATTACAACTTCAAGCACACAACTTATCTTAAAATTTCCAACAATTCTTTAGTGTACACCACACATTCCAAATAAGTTTTGATGACATTATTATATAATTGTTGATGAAGTAAAAACGTATTTATCCACCTCAATTTCAAAAGAATAATTGAAATACAATTGCAATTTATATTTTTAAGATAATAGTAAATATTTAAAAATAATAAATGATAATTTATTTAATTCTGTTCATCACAAACAAAAAAATGATATTTTTGTGTTATTCTATCCTAATGAAAGAAAAGTTTGATTCATTATATTTTATTTTATTTTATTTTAATTTGATTTATTCCATTCATCCCATACAATTCACTTTTACGTATTAAATATGAAAGATTATTTAACGTTTTTAGATACTTATCTTTAATAAAAATATTCTTAAACATTTTTTATGGACAAAAGAGATTTTAAGATTTCTTTTAATTTTTTATCCATTTTAATTTTTTATATTATATTTATTTATGAATTAAATTTTAATATTTTAAAAATAAATTATCACTAATTAAAAATAATCATATCAGCTATTTTAATAGGTTTCGAACATTTTTTATTGGATAAAATAATATTTAAAATATAAATTGAATCTCGTATAAATTGACATCAAAGGTTAATTTTTTTTAATATTTAAAGTATAATTTATATATTTAAAAATATTTATTTATAAAAATTTAATATATACATATATAATTTATTATAAATTCTTATTTTATATAATAAATATTTTGTATGCGCAATACATATTAAAATACTAGTTTCATTAATCCATTCATATCCAAAATCGAAAAATTTAGAGAGATCAAACTTTTTAAATGAATAAAAAAAAGAAAAAATTTTTGTCTATCACATTACATCTATAACAATAAATATAAATAATATATATCCCTCTTTTGCTTTTTATTCTTTTTAAGACAATTATACCCTATAATAAACTATAATGACATGGAAATATATATTTTCTTTATTCTTTAACCACTAATCATCAAAGTGAACTTTCTTATATAAAGAAGTTTTTTTATTAATTCTTTTGTGTAATTTTTTCATTTAACTTTTTTAATTTTTTTTTTATAAATGTGTTTCTTCCTCACTAGTTCAAATAAGGTCAAAATTTTATTTCATCATAATTTCATTAATCCATATATACCTTAGATTAAAAAGTTATGGTCTTTAAATTAAAAAGTTGTGGACCATTAGATCAAACTCTTTAAATGAAGAGGGAGGAAAAATGGAAAACTTTGTCAGTGTAAATGTACCAAAATGCCCCTAGATTGAAAAGGTGTGAACCGTTGGATTAATCTCCTTGGCCAAACATCAATAGGAAATAAACCCCTTGATATGGAGTAAATTACAATGGGAACAACATTGGAACCCAAAAATTGAAGGGGTAATATGGGTAAAATTGAAGGGCAATGCTAATAATAAATAATAAATAGTGATAATATTAATTTGGGGTTTCACTTGAAGGTTTGCAGTTTACTCCTCTTTTTGGTGCGGCATCTCTCGCCTCTCAACTCCCAATTACTCAGCCAGGTCCGTACACATTTCTAAAACCCTTTTTTCTCTATTTTATGGATTTCACCGTTACTCAATTCTAGAGATTGAATTATTTTTGCCCCATGTTGCATGTTCAAAATTGATGACTGCATTCACTTATTCCCCCCCTTGACATGAGGAGCAATGAGTGCCTTCCTTTATAGTAAAGTTGGATTTTTATTTTTTTTTAAATTTATTTTTAGGGGGAGGGTTTGTTTAAGCCCTTTTACTTTTTTTTTTTTATCTGTTGAAAAAAATCGTAATTTTGTGATTTTGGTTGTTTGTATCGGAATAGATTAGGGTTTTGTTTGTTAATTTTCTCTGGAGTTTGAATGTTGCCTCTGTTTGGTGCTGTGATGGGTTTGCAAGAAAAAAAAGTGTCTATTGTTTAACATCCATGCAGAGTGAAGCTTTCAGAGTGTTGGTTTTATTTTATTTTAATTTGTTTTCTCGTTTGTGATGGTGTACTTTTGTAAATGGTCTGGTTTTGTTGGGCTGGTTTTTAATGCTGTGGTTGTACGGAAGGATTTTTTTTCTTCTTGGTGGAAGTTTAGGGTGAAGGAGTGTGTTACATCAGCTCATACAAATCAGGTTTTCCTTAATCCTAAGCAATAGAGTACAAACACTGTAGTTGTAACTTGTAACCATGTTGGATATATATCTGTGCCTGGCATTTCAAATGCTCTTTATTACATTTTACAATTTTTCATTTTTCGGCCAATAGATAGATATGGAAATATCACAATAATTGAAACAATCAAAACATTTTTATTATGTTTATGGTTATTTACCCTAATTCTTAAAAGATTGATTCTCTCTTTAGATTTAACATTTGTTTTTAAATTTATTTTATAGTTTATACTAATTTTATGTGTTGAATTGTAGTCGCGTCATATTCTATAATTAATAAAATTTGTCGTGTCTGTGTAAATTTTTCTGTCTTTATCCGTCATATCCGTTTCCATGTCCCATGTTGTATTTGTGTTTACTAGAGCCTAGGTTAATGGCAATGCTTAGACCTTGTTTGTTACTATTTTCAAATTCAAAAACAGTTTTCTGTTTTCTAAAATCTGTTCAACTCCTGAGCATATTTGACTATTTGAATGTGTTTGTTCCCTGAGCACATTTCTGTTTTCTAAGAGTCTGCCCCTACTCCCTAAGCACTTGAAGAAAGCAAACGAATGGGATGAGAAAACATCTTCAAACTGTTTCTGTTTTTTGTTTTGGGAGGAATTTTCAAAACTAAATAGATTTTGGATAAGAAATTGATTGTTGAGTTGTTTTAGAAAACAAACTTTAAAGCAAAAAGTGAGAAGGGAATCAAACAGGCCCACTGACCGTACTCTCAGTTTGTTTATTTTGCTTGGTCCCAAAAAAAAAAAGAAAGTTAATTGAAAAGAGGGGTTGGATAATACAAAGAAACCACCTTATCTTGATAAATTCTTGCTTGGCCATAGAATAAACAAAAAAGAAAGCTAAATGAAAAGAGGGGGAGAATAATATAAAGAAAACACCTTTTCTTGATGATTCATTCTTTAGCTATTCTGCTGTTTTATGTGATAATTTCTCACACATACAGCTCTAGTGCTCTAGAAAGTGTGTCATGGATTTCTACTGTGTTTGCATTGCTGTTGTCCTAACGAATTGAAAGATTTGGCCCATCGACTGATGCATTAATTTAATGTTTAGAAATGTGTTTGTAATATCAATAACAACTTCATTTTTCAAAGTTATATTTTGCTAATTGTGGGATCTAATAGTTGCAAGTTATACAATATCTGCAGGATCAATCTGAATGTGCGGACTGTAATCTTTTGAGGGGTAGAGTCTTGGAAGATTTATTCAGTATCTGCATTTTGATTTTGGCCAGCCTGTTCTGATTGCAGCTATAAAGTAAATGTAGCTTTTTGTCAGTTTGCTTGGTCATAGCACTCGCTTTCAGGTTTTGAAATCTGGATTTTTGATGGAGTGCAATAAAGAAGAGGCTTTAAGGGCTAAGGAAATTGCTGAAAAGAAAATGGAAAGCAAGGATTTCAATGGGGCAAGAAAATTTGCCCTTAAGGCTCAGCAGCTATATCCTGATTTGGAGAATATCACTCGAATGCTTATTGTTTGTGATGTGCATTGCTCCGCTGAGCACAAATTGTTTGGTAATGAAATGAACTGGTATAAAATTCTTCAAATTGAGCAGACGGCTAATGATACAACAATTAAGAAGCAATACAGGAAGTTTGCTCTCCAACTTCATCCTGACAAAAACAAGTTTGCTGGTGCAGAAGCTGCATTTAAGCTGATTGGGGAAGCTCAAAGAGTTCTTTTGGATAGAGAAAAACGATCTCGGCTTGACATGAGTTTGCACAGGTTTCCAATGAACAGAACCACTATGCCATCTCATCATCAGCAGAATGTTCAGATGAAATTTAATCCTGTGATGCAAACCAGTATCAGGCCCAATTTTACAAACTTCAATCCTCCACAGCAACAGCAGTCTAGGCAGCCATCTAAGCAGGGGCCTAATGGTGTCCGCCCTACTTTTTGGACTGTGTGCTCATTTTGCTCTGTTAGATACGAGTATTATAGGGAAGTTTTAAACAGATCTCTTCGCTGTCAGAATTGCAATAGGCCATTCATTGCATATGATGTGGATATACAAGGTACAACACCAGCAACTAATACAAGTCAGCAAGCTTTTGCTGCACAGAACTATAGTCAGAATCATGGTGCTTTCAAGGTTGGTGTTGGATCTCAAGGTAATTTGCATGCCCGCAGGTCCAATACAGAACCACATCAGAAAAAAGGTCCTACTGCTGATGTCTCTGTAAAGACAAATGAAAAAAAGAGGAAAAGGCGGGCATCAGAATCCAGTGAAAGTTCCGAATCTATAGGCAGCACTGATTCTGAATCTGAAGAGGATATACTCTATGAGAAAGATGTTTCTCCCAGTGTTTCTACTCATAGAGAAGGGAATCCACGTAGATCTACTCGACAAAAGCATAAGGTTTCCTACAGGGAGAATGTGAGTGACGATGATGAAGGAAGTGGATCTCCATCTGGTGCAGGTGAAAATGGGGAGGCAGCTAAAATGAATGATCAGTATGGTTTGGCTGCTGATCTGAAAGATGATCAACAAGGGGTAAAGCAGAAGCAAAACTCTTGTTCTGATGAGAGCTTACAAAATACAAAGGAGGAAATTGTGGAGGTGAGAGGGAAAGAAGCAGTGGGCAGCTCAAAGATAGATAAAGGTTCAGAGCAGTCGACCTCGGAACCAACAAATCAACCAGATAGTTTTGTTTATCCAGATGCAGAGTTCAGTGACTTTGACAAGGACAAGACAGAGGGGTCTTTTGCTGCTGGGCAGATTTGGGCTATTTATGATACTATCGATGGTATGCCTAGATTCTATGCTTTAATCAGAAAAGTCCTCACTCCTGGATTCAAATTGCGGATAACGTGGTTTGAACCAGATCCAGATGGGAAAGATGAATTTCAGTGGTTCCATGAGCAATTGCCAATTGCTTGTGGGAAATATAAACTAGGTATAACTGAATTCACTGAAGATCATTTGATGTTCTCTCATCTGATTTTTTGTGAAAAGATTGACCGCCGCACATATAAATTATATCCTAGAAAGGGTGAAACTTGGGCTATTTTTAAAAATTGGGATATCAAATGGCATATAGATGCAAAATCTCATCGGCAGTATGATTTTGAATTTGTTGAAGTCTTATCAGATTATGTTGAAGGTGTGGGAGTAGTTGTTGCATACTTGGCTAAGTTGAAAGGTTTTGTGAGTCTCTTCTCTCAAATTGAGGGATATAAACGTACATTTCAAATTCCATCAGCTGAGTTATTCAGATTCTCTCACAGGGTTCCATCTTTTAAAATGACTGGTCAGGAAAGAGTTGGTGTTCCCGTAGGATCTTATGAACTTGATCCTGTATCATTGCCATTGAATATCGAAGAGATTGATGTTCCTGAAGATTTAGAAGTAATGGCTGGTTGTTTTCCATCTACTGGGACGAGCACAAGGTCTTCAGATATGTCAAAATTCAAGAACTCCGAGGGATGTACATCTACTGCAAAGGTTAATTTGAAAAGAAGCAATTCAGAAGAGGAGAACAAGGATCCCATTGATCATAATGGTAATGATAGTAGTGCTCCATCAGCTTCAGCCGAAGATGATGCTTTTGAAATTCCCGACCCTGTGTTCTGCAATTTTGATGCTGAGAGGTCTCTTGAAAAGTTTCAGATCGGTCAGATTTGGGCATTTTACTGTGACGAGGATGGACTGCCAAAGTACTATGGTCAGATTAAGCAGGTTAGGACTAGCCTAACTAGCCCAGAACTTGAGTTACAAGTTACTTATCTTACTAACTGCTGGTTACCGGGGAACAGTGTTAGATGGGAAGATAAGGATATGCTTATTTCCATTGGAAAATTTAAAATCAAAGCGGGTGCTCGTCCCTGCACTTATATCAACACCTATTCTGTTTCGCATCAGGTGCACACTGTAACTGATGGTAAGAAGAAGGAATATGAAATTTTTCCAAGGAAAGGCGAAATTTGGGCATTGTATAGGAACTGGACGGCCAAAATAAAACGTTCTGATTTGGATAACTGGCGGTATGACATAGTGGAAGTTATTGGAGAAAATGATTTGTGGATGGATGTTCTACCCTTGGAGTTGGTAAGTGGTTACCATTCAGTTTTTAAGGGTAAATCAAATGAAGGATCACCTAGGACCATGCGAATATTGTGGAAAGAGTTGCTTAGGTTCTCTCACCAAATCCCTGCCTTCAAACTGTCAGAAGAACATGGTGGCAATCTGAAAGGCTTCTGGGAACTTGATCCGGGAGCACTACCCCTTCATTATTTTTCCAACAAATAAAAGAAGCCTTAAACTGAACTTGCGTAGTTCATCTGTATTTATGTACAACTCTTTTGCTGGGAAGCAAAATTTGCTATCCTAAGGACATTTTTGGACTCAGCTTTTTTTAGATGTTTAAATTAGATAAAAACTATACAACAGTTTCTGTGTATATGCAGTAGTAGTTCCTGCATGATCACAGTTGATATGATATTACCTGAGCCCTAAGATATTGTTCCAGCTACCTTGAGGTAAATTGGGATTGCTGATTCTCATTTGCATTCTTTGTTTTGTTTCTCATCCTTTAGAATTTGAGTTGCGTTAAGTGATATGCTACAAAATTAGTATTACTAAAGCAATTGAGTTTAACTAACAACCGCATGTGGGCGCATTTGCCTCAAGTATGCAAGGTATCTTGCACTGTGTGTTTTGTTTTGGATGGTGGCAAGAGCTATGCGATGTATCTTCCCATTATTCAGATTTCCCAAGCTCTAAGGTGGATCTTCCTCTGCCAGTTTCCAGTTTTTAGGCACAAAAATTGCTTTCCTTAGTTTGAAAGTGAAGAAAGATGTTTCCCTGTGACATTTGTTCAATGGTTGGATGGTACTTAACTATAACATCACATCAAACTCTTTTAAGGGTATGTTTGGGAAAAGTGGAATGGGTGAGAAATAGGTGAGGAAGTTAAGAAATAGATGGGGAAAAAGTGAGTGTGTTTGAGAAGATAGAAATAAACAGTGATGGGGCTTACCATTTCTGTTTTCATCGCTGAAAGGAGCGGAAGCGGAAATAGCAACGAAATTAATGTTATTTGCGGTTTAATCGATTAAATTAAAGTTGTTTTTCATACGCAAAACAACTCCAATACAGTATCACGTTATAACGTTTACAATCGATTAAAGTATTACATCATACTCTTATTTTGATATTTTATAATCGATTACAGTATGACTTTAATACTCCTATATCAATCTTTTATACTCCTATTTTGATATTTTTATGATCAGGCACAGTATTGCATTGTACTCTAACTAGGGTTATAGGTCATTTTAGTAGTTTAAAACGGCCCGTTTTGGATTATTAAATATAGGTCTTTTTAGTAGTTTGGAACGGTCCGTTCCAGTTTGGGAATGACTCGTTCTGGGCTACTAAATCACTTTTATTGGATTTCGAGTCTTCGTATAATATATGAAAATCGGGCTATTACAATCTATATAACAATAGACAATAAGGACTAAAAGGTGTATTGTCGAGGAATTAATTTATTTTATTTTGTGAGCTTAAAGGGAGAATTTGAGTTCCTTTTAAACTGAAATTTCAATAATCATCATTTGCTTAGACATTTAATAATCACATTTGTGTAATAACTATCTTGACATTATGTACTCTTGATTACCAATAAGGAAATGAATTTGTTTGAAATAAGTGTCTATTACTAAAATGTAATCTAGAAATTGAATTGACTCTCCCCTTCCTCTTTATTTATAGGCAACATCATGTATTATTTTGCCTATCTAACTAACTAATGTAACTTACTAATTATTTGGTGGCAACATCGTGTCTTGTTTTGTCTATCATGTGGCAAAGGAGTATTTCTTGTGTGGAGAGGTTTGATTAGCAACGTGGGTCTTGATTGAAAAATGGTGTGGTTTTCTGCCCATATTCTTTAGTTGGTAATTCTAGTTACCATATTTTATTTGCTAATTCTAGTTACCTATTTATCGAGGTGAGAAATGTTTGCACATTTTGAATGGTGATCCTTATCGACATTATTTGCATTGAACAACAAGATACTTATTTATCAATTGTTATTTGTTAAATTTAATTTTAATACATATTTAAAAAAATTCCAATGATTAAAAGAGTTTTATATAATAATATAAATTATTTATAATAAATTTAAAATATAATTTTTATAGAAAAATATTTATTATTTATAAATTTGAATTACATAAAATAAATATTTATATTTATATTAAAATAATAAAAAAATATAACAATAAAAAAAATTAATATTTAAAACTTAAAGGGGTTGTTTCGTTAAGTTGTAATTTTTGTTACCAATTTTTTAACAAAATATTTAATATTGTTAACTTACTAATAAATGCGAGAAATTGTTCGACATAATATTTATTCCCCGAATACATTCATGTTACTCTCTTCTCAACCAGATTGTCGGGATGTCAGGAGATTTTTTTGAATTAGATTATGTTCATGTTCTTCGAGAAGTAAATCAAGTAGCTAATAGTTTTGCTAAGTTAGGATTAACTTTCCCTGAAGGAGTGCATTATTTTAACTCTCCGCCAAGTTGGACACATTTTTTATTACTAGCAGATAGACCTGCTATTTTTTTCTCTCGTGGATTCTATTTTATTGTTGGGAGTTTAAGCCCCCTTATTAATAATAATAATAAAAAGTTTGATAACAAGTTTGATCAATTACCTGAAGAAGGTTTTATATCTTATTAAAAAATGTGTTAGTAACTCAAAATAAAATAAAAATTAAAGCAACATTACTTTTAAATTATATTTTTTTAAAGATATTTTGGATTTAAACAAAGAAAAATATCTTGATTGGTTAGTTGATTTAATATTATATTTCTTAAAATCATTTATCTTCTATATTATATTTTTTAAAATTATTTATATTGTTTATTTTAAATTATTATTTTTTTCACTTATTTTGTTTTAAATATTCTATTTCTTTAAGATTTAAAGTATTGATTTATTTATTTTGTTAAATTATAAATATTAATTTATTTAATATTTGATAGTTTACTAACATGTTAAATCTATATATGTTTTGATCAAAACATAATTTTAATGACTTTATTATATTAATTTTTCAATAGTTTACCAACAAATATAATATTTTGGTTAAGTTTGGTAAATTCTAAAATTTGTTTAATTTGTTAATTTATGTATTGTATTTATGATAAAAAAACAAATTATTTATGCAGGAGAAAACTAGAAAAAGTAGAAATCATTTTGTTAAGTTGAATATTCAATTTCTTTTTTATATTTTTAATTATGTTTTATCTATTTTATACATTTAAATATAAAAATTATAAAAATTATTTATAAATTTTAAATGTTAATTTTGATTATGATAAAGTCAAAATTGTTATTGAATAACAAAATTTTTATGTTATTTAATATATTTGGTTTAATTGATAAAAAAATTATATCTTTAATTTAATTAATGTGTTTTAAGATGAATTAAAAACTTTAATTTTACCTTTTTTTTCTACCATTTTTGATTTTAAAATAAACAAAAAGTATTAGTATAATATACATCATGTTATATAGAATACGATAAAAAGTAGTTTTATTTTTTAAGTTAATGATCATATTTTGTGATAAATATATTCATTAAATTGAATCAAATTAACTTCAATTTCTGAGAATTTAAAAATAAAATTGAATGTTTAATCAAAGTGTTTAATATATCTATTAAATAAATAATTAAAATAAATAATATTTTAAATTAATGGAAAAATTTATATGTATTAATAAGATTAGCCCAAAATAAAAAAAAAGAAACTTTTAACAGAAAATTACAATATTAGAATCAAATCTTAATCTTTACGATATTAAATTTAAACAATGACCAACAAATTAAAATTAGTATTCATATAATTAATTCATTAAATTTTATAAGTAACAAAAATATTTTGAGTTTAAAAATAGGACTTGTTCAGTTTTATGCTTAAATTAATCTTATATATTAAACATTATAATTTTTAATATTATTTTTAACTTATTCTTAATATTATTATATTTTATATTTATTGATGTTGTTGATATTTATTTATATAATTAATTAAATATTATTTCATCAAATTTATTAAAATAAATCGTGAATCGTGCTGTTCTAAATTTTCAATTATAAAAAGATTTGGCGGGAATGAGTGATGCTTTCTTCGCGAACCCTTTAAATTTGTTCGAAAACAAACCCTTTACTTTCTTAATTCTATTTTGCTTTTGAATTTTCTTTTTCCTCCATTCCCGAAAGCAAAAGGGGATCTTTCTTTCCTAATTTTAATTTATAGCAAGAAATGCGACGGAGGGCAACAACAAATGTTCGCACCAAGTGATTGCAGAAATGATTGAAATGGGTATTGAGTATTCAAATATCGTCGAAGCCATAAAAGAAGTGGGTCTCTCTGTTCCTAGTGTTGTGGAGCACATCCTCAACACCCCCAAGTTGCAAGAACGCAACAAGAACCCTCTCAGAAGACAACCTTTGCGCACGTGTCGTCTAGTTCGGAGTCCAAGATATTCGACCATTTCCACTCCAATGATGCCCAAGAACACACGGAGGATTTCCCTGATCCCATTCCATTTGTGCTTTCAGAGCCATTTCAAGTTCAAGATTCGGATGTTGCATCAGATTGGGAGCGGAAAGTTAGCAACTTGATGCAAAAGCATTTTGGGTTTTCATCCTTGAAGAGTTTTCAGAAGGAAGCCCTCTCTTCCTGGGTTGGTCATAAAAACTGTCTTGTACTCGCTGCAACAGGATCTGGTTTTGTTCTTTAATTATTCAATTTGCGCCTTACCACATGTTTGGATAATTTTTTATTGAATCATTTTTAAAAAGAGAAAAATAGAAAATGAAAATAAAAATAAACTTTCCTATAAACTAAAACTAACTGATGAATGAATTCAAATAAGATTTTGAAGAAGTTAATACAAAAGAACTTCTATAATATGGCTTATGTATAAGTTAATTTTAATTTATAAAGAAATTTATTTATTTTTACTTCTTAACTTGCTACACTAAAAGTAAAGAGATCCTTACTTACTAGGTACTATAATTTTTGTGCATTAATTTATAATTATGTTTTTGGCACAGGCAAGTCTCTATGCTTTTAGATTCCTGCAATTGTTGTCTGAGAAAGTGGTGGTTGTGATTTCGCCCTTGATAAGCTAACAAAACATGGAATCAGTGCTTGCTTTCTTGGCTCGGGGCAACCTGATGATACTGTTGAACAGAAAGCAATGAGAGGCTTGTATAATATAGTTTGTCTGCCCAGAGACAGTGTTGAGGTATGGTTTGGAGCCTTGATCTGCCTGACCAGTTTCAATGAATAAAAGTTGATCTTGAAGTCCATCGCATGTCTTAGAAGTCGGCTTTTTGACTCTTTTAATGTTTTGTAACTACAATGCAATGTTTTGTAGATTGATTCAACCACTGCAAAAGCTTGCAGAAAGCCGCGGTATTACTTTATCTGCAATTTACGAGGTACATTGTGTTTCTAATCTTGTAATCGTGTCCTAGGATGTGTTTAAAAAATAATTACGTTTAATTCAACAGGGTTGAAAAAAAAATTACATTCACGAATTTTTATTTTCTACATTAGAATTTAGAATGTGTTTTTTTTTTTAATATGATTTTAAATTGGTATCAAAATACATCATCGGTGTCCGATTTGAATTATGCTACGTACTAGTTACTACTCATACAAACAGCTGGAGTACTACCGACTCGTCTCACATGCACTCACTTGAAGATCATTAATTAATTTTAATTGATCTTCGGAGTGACAAGGAAACAAAATAAGAACAACCTATTACTCACAATAGACTAATTAAATCAGTTGATACGACAGGTCAGTTTGACTTTTTTACTTGATTTTCCTTCAAGTATTTGCTACATCTTCAGATAACAATTTTACTACCAATTAATTTGTTACTTTGAAAACCGTAAACCCCCACAATCAGTAGCAACTTGATATATTATTTATTTATTTATGAGAATTGAACTCAGTACAAAAACAATTTACGACACTCACGCATCATTTCAACCAATTGACTATACTTTCTTGGTATATCGTAAAATATATTTTAACATTTCTTTTGTTTTTAAAAATTCTGTATTCTTTAAATTGGCATAGCTAAAATGTTTCTGTTTTCCGTTAAAACTACATTTTGGGTTTATCTGTAATCTGCTGGATTGCATGAAACCCACTGGTTTTGTTCCGTGATGGAGTCATTAGCTCAGTTTATGCATTATTAACATTATGAGATTTGCTTTATTGTGAAAAAGTTTATCCAAACATGCCCTTACAAGAGAAGAAGTTTGAGGAGAAAATGAATTGAACTTCTCCTATAAGCAAATTAACTATTGTACTTCAGATTTTGGAGAAATTACATGGGAAGAGTTTCTATAAAAGTGAATTAGATGATTTTAGCTTATAGGAGAAACTAAGTTCATTTTAGTTTTATTTTCTTCTTCAATAACTGTTTATGAGAAAGTATAAAAATAGGGAGTAGTGATAAGTGATAATTCTTTCAGTTGGATGGTGATTATTGTTAGTTATGGTTTACTTGTTTTTAGGTACTCGAACTTTTCAGTGGAAGAAATTAAGAGGATATGTCCTGCTTGCCGAGGTATATGTAATTGCAAGACTTGCTTGCGGAGTGATACTTCGATAAAGTTATTTGAGTGTTGCTAGCTTAGAAGTCAATGAGGCATGCGGTTGAAGTTTAGCATTTGTAATTTATTTTCCTGTTTGTGAAATTTTGGTTTTGCTGGGATTTAGGTTCGGATACGAGAGATACCTGTTCTCGATAAGTTGCAGTATCTCCATGTGCTGCTGTCGTCGGTGCTTCCAGTAGTAAAGCAGATCCACCATGAACGGTGTTTTGAAGTTGAACCTGAAAAGAAGTTGCGTGGTATGATTCATTTTAAGATATAAGTTTAAATATGCTTTTAGTTCCTCAAACTAAGATAAATTTATTTTTAGTCTCTTAAATTTAAAATTGATCTGTAATTTCAAAAAAATATGTTTTTAGTCCTTATACTCAATTTTTTTAGGGAATTTGTCAAATATTGTCATACAAAATTTACATACTAGTGTCTAATATAACATTAAACACATTACTATTCCAATTTTTACTTCCAGTTCCAGATGTGTTATTAGTGATTTAAGGGATTAAAACAAGATTTTTAAAAATTACATAGACTAAAAAAAAATAATTTTAAATTTGATGGATCAAAAATAAATTTAGCTTAAATTTGGGGGACTAAAAACACATTTAAGCCTAAGATTTATTTGGATTTGCTTCCAGCTTTGTACTCTTAGTGGTGGTTATCTATGTTGCTTTGCTTTATGTGTGGTGAACAAGTATTTGATGAAGTTTTCAAAATGGTTTCCCTCTCAGGTGCTGAAATAGATCTTCCAAGGATAAAATTGAACACAGATGAGCAGATGTGCTGGTACGTTTATAACCAATTTCATAGAATTGTTGGTTTTAGTTAGTGCGAAGCATTATGCATATGTTCCTTATTCATGGATAGTATAGGGATCATTAATTATTTTGATTTGTTTTCTTGCAGCAATTTCTGTAGGATACCTATTACTGATTATCATCGTTGCTGTCCAAGTTCTCATATGATTTGTGCCTTAATTGCTGTCGAGATCTTTGAGATGCAACTGCAAACTGCAATAAAGAACCCCAAACAGAGCAAGCAAAAACTTCTGATCGAAATTTATTAAGTTTCCTCATTGGAGATCCAATGACAACGGAAGTATTCCATGTCCCCCTAAGGAGTATGGTGGATGTGGTTATTCATCATTAAATTTAAGCCGAATTTTCAAGATGAACTGGGTTGCAAAGTTGGTGAAAAATGTAGAGGAAATGGTTAGTGGCACTGGCTGCAGAATTAGTAATGCTGATGGTCCACCAGAAACTGGGCTGAATGCTCTCAGTCTTTGCCAGTATTCTCATAGAGAAGCTAGTGATGATAATTATCTTTATTGTCCAGCATCTGACGATATCAAAACTGATGGGATTGGAAATTTTAGAAAGCATTGGAAAACTGGGGAGCCCATTATTGTGAAGCAAGTATTTGATGGGTCATCCATTTCAAGCTGGGATCCAATGGTCATATGGAGAGGGATTCTAGAGACAACAGATGAGAAAGCGAAAGATGAAAACAGAATGGTTAAGGCCATAGACTGCTTAGATGGGTCTAATGTACACATCTATACCTTAACCCTTTTTAGTGATTGAGATTCTGTTGGTTTTATCTATTTCACTGTGTTTTTGGTTCATAATTTATGCTAAATTTCTCTGCATTATGGCTGCAATTTATTATTTTTATATTGACAGATTGATATTGAGCTCTCTCGATTCATGAAAGGATACTTTGAAGGGCATATTCATGAAGATGGTTGGCCACAGTTATTGAAATTGAAGGATTGGCCTTCACCTAGTGCATCTGAAGAATTTCTATTGTACCAAAGACCTGAGTTTATCAGCAAACTACCTTTACTTCAGTATATTCACTCCAAGTGGGGCATTCTCAATGTTGCAGCTAAGTTGCCTCATTACTCCTTGCAGAATGACGTAGGACCCAAGATATATATATCTTATAGGATTAGTGATGAACTTGGTAGAGGTGACTCGGTGACAAATCTCCACTTTAATATGCGTGACATGGTATGTTACTTTATCCTCATTATGTTTTTTATAGTTTGAGTTTGAATAAATGAAGTCATTATCAACTACTTTATGGTATTCTGGTTCCTAGACACACTGCAACTTTTTTATAATCTTTGTTCAAATTTCAAGTGTCTTAAGAATATCATTTGATGCTTCACTGTTAACTTATGTTTGGTTATGTATTTATCATGGTTATGTAGATGAGTAATTGAGGTTTCTTTATAATCTGACTTCTCATATCAATAAATGCAGGTTGACATTTGTAAATAATTACAAATTGTTAATGATAAGTGTTTAATGACAATTTATAATGTGCTATTTGAATTCAAATGTCTCAACATGTGGATTGGTTACCCAAACTCTGCTAGATACTTTGCATTTGTGTTTAATATTTTAAAGTTCTTTCCCTCACTCGCTGTCTCCCCCCCCCCCCCCCCCGCGGTCACCCTTTCCCGGTCTCTCTCTCTCTCGTTTCAGTTGGGTTCTTCTCCCATCGAAGTTCAAATGGCCGCAGAGAAACAAGAGTATGACGATACAAAGAAGCCAAAGAACGGCCGCAGAGAAACAAGAGTATGACGATACAAAGAAGCCAAAGAACACAGAAAAGCGTAAGTAGAACCTTTAATAAATGGATGGTACCTCTTCCATCTCTCTCTTTTCTCTTCTTTACCTTGTGACTATTTTCCTTCTTTGATCTTGCTTTTCTCTTCTTTACCTTGTGATTGCTTTTTCTTCTTTGATTTTGAAGTGAACTCGATTCTTGTTTCTATGTTTTCTGATTGTCTCTTTTTTTTTCTCGTGTTTGGAGTGCTATGAGAGACTGGATCCTTTACTGTCCTTATTGCTGTTTTTGATTCCTCTTTCTGTGTCTTGGTTCTTTCTTGAACTTGCGTTTTCTTGTTTTCAAAACAGGTATTTATCTTTTTTTATTGATTTTGATTGCATGCAAGAACAAGAATGATGACAGAGGATACAAATCTGACATATGCAAATTTGAATGGTCATGATTTTGAATGCATGCAAGAACAAGAATGATGACAAAGGATACTAATTCGCTATATGCAAATTTCAATGATCATCAATACACAAATGAATAACTCCCCAGTCATTTTAATTGCACTTATATTCATAACTGTAGGAATTGGGTTCAAGCTTTCCCTAGCCCATTTTTGTTGTATTTCAGGTGTTGGGACTTGGGGTTGCTGGCTAGGCTGGTGTGTAATCTTGCATCTCGACAAGAAGTGTGTTGTTTCTTCTTTGGTGAATTCAAGAATTGTTTTCTGTCACGTGAGTAATTTGAAATTAAATTTAATTTGCAAAGTTCATGATTAAAAGTTACTTAATTATATGAGTACTGATGACATTTTTGTTTTTTTGTAGGTTTAATTTAATCTGTACTGCTTTTTCTACAAAATGACCGGAGTGCTCATTTCTGGAGATATCTTTGATCTTCAGGTGAATTACTTTCTAAACATATGTATGACTAACTATTTGCCTCTGTCCGTTATTTTCTGGCTCTAGGCTATGAGATTTGGTCTAAAATAATCAAAGTTTTTCAACATTCATGAACAATTCAATGTTGTATCCCTTCTTGATTTAAATTGAAAAGCTCTTCATTTTCTAAAGTTGTAATTTTTTACCCATCGAAACTCAAGAATACCATTCTTGTTGAAATTCTTGAATGTGTATTTTATTCTTTTTTTTTTTGGTTGGTTGTTTTTAACCATATTTATAAAATACATTATTTCTAGCCTCTAATGTATTTGGTACATTCTATTTTCAATCTTTTTGTTTATTTCCTAAGGTTTTGTTCATATAAATGTTTTTATTCCAATTTTTTTGATTTCTTTTATATATATATATATATTATATTTTATATTTATATATAATGATAATGATTTTATATTATGTTTCGTGAATTTATTATATGTGGGTATAACCGCATCAGCATACTTACCTTTGATGTTAACAAGGGAAAAAGAGAGGGATAAAGTGTCAATAATTTAAATCCGTTTTAAAGTTGATTATCATTTCAAACTGGTTTTAGAATTGTGATTATAGTTTTCAACTAGTTTATGATTTGAAATATATATTAAAACTAGACTGATTTTAAAATTGATTTTGAACCGTAAATTGATTTTTAGGCCAAATTGGTTTCACAAGAATTTAAACCATCAATTAATTTTAAACAGATTTAAAAATAATATACAAGTATGCATTTAAGATAAATTTGAATATCATTTATTTTGTTAAAATTTGTTTAAAAAATTGATTTATGATTTTAACCTAGCTTTGAAACTCAACCGGATTTCTAATCATAAACTGGTTTTAAAACCAATTTTAAACCTGATTTTGAACATCCAAACAAATTATTTTCCCAATTAGAATGAACAATGTTGGAATTGCTCAATTAGCTTGATGGTTTCAGTAGTGATGACAGAATTAAGACTTGTCTTTATTTGTTATTGTCTATATGTTTTTTCTTGATTGATGCGATATAAATAAGTTTCAAAAATTTTTGCTGTCTGTGGTAAGTCTCATGTTTAGGAGCTGGTCCCGTAATTTTTTATTTTTATAGCATTTTATTTTAACACATTTCTTTTACATCATGTTAACATCTCGAATATCAATATACTAGATTTAACAGTTGGCACTAAACTTACCGGATTTTGTTCATTTAGACTATGTTATTCAATAATCATTTTCATTTATTATTGTCAATTGCAGGTTATAGCAGTAACAAACTGTGCAGATATTCTTTACCCCGCCCTTATGCCTCTTTCAAGACTTCCTAAGATTTTGTTCATATAAATGTTTTTCATCCAATTTCTGTCATTTCTTATATATATATATATATATATATATTATTTTTATATAATGATAATGATTTTATATTATATATCATGAATTTATTATCTGTGTGTATAACCAGTTCAACATACTTACCTTTGATGTTAACGGGATAAAAAGAGGGATAAAGTGTCTACATTTTAAATCCGTTTTAAAGTTGGTTATCGTTTCAAACTGGTTTTTTTAAAACAATTATAATAAATTTTAGTCTTAAAATTGATTATAGTTTTCAATAAGTTTATGATTTGAAATATATATTAAAACTAGATTGATTTTAAAATTGATTTTGAACCGTAAATTGATTTTAAAGCCAAATTGGTTTCACAAGAGTTTTAAACAGATTTAAAAATAATAAACAAATCTGCATTTAAGATAAATTTTAATATTATTTATTTTGTTAAAATTAGTTTAAAAAACTGATTTATGATTTTAAACTAGCTTTGAACCAACTGGATTTCTAATCATAAACTGGTTTTAAAATCAATTTTAAACCTGATTTTGAAAATCCAAACAAATTATTTTCCTGATTAGAATGAACAATGTTGAAATTGCTCAATTAGCTTGATGATTTCAGTAGTGATGGCAGAATTAAGGCTTGTCTTTATTTGTTATTGTCTATATGTCTTTTCTTGATTGATGTGATATAAATAAGCTTCAAAGATATTTGCTGTATGTGGTACGGAGGCATAATAATTTATATTCTGAAATCTCATGTTTAGGGTTGGCCCCATAATTTTACTTTTTTTTTTATGACGTTTTATTTTAACACATTTCTTTTATAGGTTAGCATCTCCAATATCAATAAACTGATTTAACAGTTGGCACCAAACTTACATGATTTTGTTCATTTAGACTATGTTATTCAAGAGTCATTTTCATTTATTCTTGTCAATTGCAGGTTATAGTAGCAACAAGCTGTGCAAATATTCTTTACCCTGCCCTTATGCATTCTGGGCCATAGGATCGTCAATTGAGTTTCTGCACCCAATTGAGGAAGTGCTCGGAATCTACAGGTTTAGAGTCTTCAAAATTTATCTGCTGACATATTTTTGGTACAACACATTTAGTGACTGCTATCACTTTGATATTCTAGATCTATTCAAGGAAGGATGAATGTTCACCCTGATGTTAACTTTGAAGAACTTGCTCCTTCTGGGTTGAGCCTGGCATGTTGGGTTTGCGCTGTGATGCAACTGAGGTTTGTTTTCTTTCGATATACAACAACATAAATAACTTAAAAATCAATTTTTGTAAAAGAAAATGAGCACCACTCCAAATATAAGGGGCATTAATGGGTTAATAAATAGTGTTAGATACAATACATTGTTTGAAATTTATTGAACACAATAAATCTTAATGAGATGCAGGACACATCGAGATTTATGATTTTGAATAAATTTCAGAGAATAATAAAAAGTGTTCGACACAATATTTGATATTGTTTGAAATTTATTAAAAATAATAAATCTTAATGAGATGTGGGAGTCACCTAGATTTGTAATTTGTCAATGAATTTTAGCTATGAATAGTGTTAGATAAAATATTTGATATTGCTTGAATCTTATTTGATATTGCTTGAATCTTATTTGATATTGCTTGAATCTTGTTGAAAATAATAGTTACACAAAAATGTTGCAGGTTGCTTGAAAATTTATTAAAATAGTAAATCTTTGTGAGATGCGAGGGTCCCTAATATTTGTAATAGTTAATGAATTTCAACTATGAATATTGTTAGACAAAGTATTTGATATTGCTTGAATCTTATTGAAAATAATAAATCTTTGTGAGATGTGGAATTGAAATTTATAATTTTCAATAAATTGTAGCTAATAATAGTATTAAGATAAAAAATATAGGAGTTTATTGAAAATAATAAATCTTAGTGAGTTGCGGGAGTCATTGAGATTTGTTATTTTCAATAAATATAAACTATTATTAGTCTTAGACAAAAAATATTGTTTCAGATATGATTAGTGTTAGAAAAAATATTTGATATTGCTTGAAAATTATTGAAAATAATAAATATTAGTGAGATGCGGGAGTAAAAAAGATTTATAATTTTTAATGAATTTAAAGTGTGAATAGTATTAGACAAAATATTTGATATTGCTCGAATCTTATTGAAAATAATAAATCTTAGTGAGAAGAGAGACTCACTGAGATTTATAATTTTCAATAAATTCCAACTATTAATAGTGTTAATATATAAAAATATTGGAGTTTATTGAAAGTAATAAATCTTAGTGAGTTGCGGGAGTCATTAAGATTTGTAATTTTCAATAAATTTCAGTTATTAATAGTCTTAGACAAAAAATATTGAAGATTGCTTGAAATTTATTGAAAATAATAAATCTTACTGAGATACGAGAGTTTCCGAGATTTATAATTTTCAGTGAGTTTCAAGTGTGAATAGTATTAGACAAAATATTTGATATTGCTTGAATCTTATTGAAAATAATAAATCTTAGTGAGAAGCGGGAGTCGCCGAGATTTATAATTTTCAATAAATTGCAGCTTTTAATAGGGTTAAGATAAAAAATTATTGAAGTTTGTTGAAAATAATAAATCTTAGTGAGATGCGGGACTCACCGAGATTTATAATTTTTAATAAATTTCAAGTGTGAATAGTGTTAGACAAAATATTTGATATTATTGCAATCTTATTGAAAATAATTAATCTTAGTGAGAAGCGGGACTCACCGAGATTTATAATTTTCAATAAATCGCAACTATTAATAGTATTAAGGTAATTGGAATTTATTGATAATTCTTAGTGAGTTATGGGAGTTATTAAGAATTGTAATTTTCAAAAAATTTCAGCTATTAATAGTCTTAGACAAAAAATATTGGAGATTGTTTGAAATTTATTGAAAATAATAAATCTTAGTGAGATGCGGGAGTCACCGAAATTTATAATTTTCAATGAAGTTCAAGTGTGAATAGTGTTAGACAATATATGATATTGCTTGAATCTTATTGAAAATAATAAATCTTAGTGAGAAGCGGGAGTCACCGAGATTTATAATTTTCAATAAATTGCAGCTTTTAATAGGGTTAAGATAAAAACTATTGGAGTTTGTTGAAAATAATAAATCTTAGTGAGATGCGGGACTCACCGAGATTTATAATTTTTAATGAATTTCAAGTGTGAATAGTGTTAGACAAAATATTTGATATTATTGCAATCTTATTGAAAATAATTAATCTTAGTGAGAAGCGGGACTCACCGAGATTTATAATTTTCAATAAATCGCAACTATTAATAGTATTAAGGTAATTGGAATTTATTGATAATTCTTAGTGAGTTATGGGAGTTATTAAGAATTGTAATTTTCAAAAAATTTCAGCTATTAATAGTCTTAGACAAAAAATATTGGAGATTGTTTGAAATTTATTGAAAATAATAAATCTTAGTGAGATGCGGGAGTCACCGAGATTTATAATTTTCAATGAAGTTCAAGTGTGAATAGTGTTAGACAATATATGATATTGCTTGAATCTTATTGAAAATAATAAATCTTAGTGAGAAGCGGGAGTCACCGAGATTTATAATTTTCAATAAATTGCAGCTTTTAATAGGGTTAAGATAAAAACTATTGGAGTTTGTTGAAAATAATAAATCTTAGTGAGATGCGGGACTCACCGAGATTTATAATTTTTAATGAATTTCAAGTGTGAATAGTGTTAGACAAAATATTTGATATTGTTGCAATCTTATTGAAAATAATTAATCTTAGCGAGAAGCGGGAGTCACCGAGATTTATAATTTTCAATGAAGTTCAAGTGTGAATAGTTTTAGACAATATATGATATTGCTTGAATCTTATTGGAAATAATAAATCTTAGTGAGAAGCGGGAGTTACCGAGATTTATAATTTTTAATAAATTGCAGCTTTTAATAGGGTTAAGATAAAAACTATTGGAGTTTGTTGAAAATAATAAATCTTATTGAAATGCGGGAGTCATTGAGATTTGTTATTTTTAATAAATATCAGCTATTATTAGTCTTAGACAAAAATTATTGGAGATTGCTTGAAATTTATTGAAGATAATAAATTTTAGTGGGATGAGGGAGTCACCGAGATTTATAATTTTCATTGAATTTCAAGTGTGAATAGTGTTAGACAAAATATTTGATATTGCTTGAATCTTATTGAAAATAATAAATCTTAGTGAGAAGCGGGAGTCACCGAGATTTATAATTTTCAATAAATTGCAGCTTTTAATAGGGTTAAGATAAAAACTATTGGAGTTTATTGAAAATAATAAATCTTAGTGAGAAGCGGGAGTCACCGAGATTTATAATTTTCAATGAATTTAAGCTATGAATTGTGTTAGGATGAAAAATATTGGAGTTTATTGAAAATAATAAATCTTATTGAGTTGCGGGAGTCATTAAGATTTGTAATTTTCAATAAATTTTAGCTATTAATAAATAGTGAATTGTGGTGGTTAACAAGATTTGTGATTTTTAATAAATTTTAACTAATAATAAATAGTGTAAGGTAACAAATAGTTCATATTTGGAATTTAATTGAAATTCATATCTTAATGTCAGCATATGTGTGATGTTTCTTTGTGTCAATGCATTTACTTACTCATTCCTTAATATTTCAGTCTTTTTCACTCAATTTCATTTTCAATTATTCTATTTGTATTTTGTTTCTCATTTATATTTTTAATTTTCAAGAAATACAACTTTTGAACCTTATTTATTTATAATTTATGCTAGAATGTATATGCATCTACACAGTTCATTTGTCTCTGCACTATTTCCTTCTATAATGATTGTTGCCTATATAGTTTCTATGTTGCTATTAACAAGGTAGGACCAGATGCATACTATATGGAACCAACATCATGTAACAATGATGTTGGTGAGATATATTAAAGAATCTTTTTTGCTCTTATAATAAGAAGACTTCATCTCCTTCCACAAAGGTTCTTCTTT